TACACAATGATACATGAGCAGGAAGTTCTGGAGACAGTTCAGAGGACCCGCTTTCCCAGAAGTGTCTCCTGAAGAGTGACTTGTGAAAGGAGCTTTTCCAGTGCCCATCTAGGTGCCAGTTGAGATAATTGGCCAAACTTTTGGCCTTTCTTGTTCTTTGGTGCCCTCTAACAGTTTCCTTTGCAGCTCACCTATGGATCAAGGCTTGATCAAAGCAGAGAAACAGATGGGAAAGAACTAGGTGTTTCATAGGGATTTATTTTTTTTAGCTTTTTATTGATTGATTTGCAGTAAAGATACAGGTAGAAAAGATAGAGATTGACTGTCTGTTGCTCTAGTCACTGCAAGGAAACATTTCCCTAACAGCTGTACTCTAAATGGGCAAAGCAGGCAAAGGATGAAGAAAATATTATCTCCTTGTTTTAACAGGGGTAGTAATGATAAGTGAGGTGCCCAGGGTGAAAGAAGTTGTTTGTGGCAGAGCTAAGAGTCTCTTGGTCTCCCACCTTTCTTTCCTAACAACAGAATTCTCCTATTTTTCCTGATTTATGATTAGAAATTCATTGAGGTAAAGGAGTAAAACAATAATTCTGCTTCTCTTTATACCTGCAGATCGCCCAGGCCTTGTTTGCGTTGAGAGGATAGAAAAGTGCCAGGAGGGTTTCCTCCTGGCATTCGAACATTACATTAATTACCGAAAACACCACGTTGCACACTTTTGGCCAAAACTGCTGATGAAAGTGACAGACCTGCGAATGATCGGAGCCTGCCATGCCAGCCGCTTCCTGCACATGAAGGTGGAGTGCCCCACAGAACTCTTCCCTCCATTGTTCCTGGAAGTGTTTGAGGATTAAAGAAACTGGAGCGGTTCTCCGCCCCCGCCCCGTCGCACTACTGGCTGTCATTTCATCCCGTGGCCCAGCTCTTCTCACCTCTGTTTGTTCTTTCGTTCTCTTCTGTTTCTTGAGGTGGGGTTGGGTTTTTGTTCAGGTTTTCGTTTGGGGTTTCTGGGGGGCAGTTGTATACACATGGATGAAGACATCCCTTTAATGCGGGTACTTGTGACTATTGCAATTTGTTCTTCAGTCCTTTGATGTGAATGCTTTGACAGCTTAGCAGTGAAAATACAAACAGACCAGTCTCATTCACCAGCACTTGCGTGGTCACCAGCTCACACACATCATTGCTTGGAAAATATGAGTGAGAAATTGAAGTGGCAGAAAATAAATTGGCCTCCAAGTTAAAAAGGCTATTGTTAATGTGACCCTAGCAATTCTGTCTGGTGTTACCTCATTTTGCAGGGCATAAGTGACCATTTTGTGAGATGAAATTCTGCTTTTCATGGTTGTTTCTACTGTAAAAATCACCATTATGACCTAGGATCTTCATCATCTGCACGATCCCATCATTATCTGAGGATTGTTCCAGCAGATTAAGTTTAACTGTGCCCCATAAATCAAGTAATAGTGCAGAATGTTAGAAGGGACTGGCTCTTTTCATTTTTTTCCATGTGTATAAGAAAGTAAGAGCCTTCAGGCCTTACATTGGAACTCCAGGTAACTTCACTGAAAGGTCTTTTAGAATATGGAGAGGATTTTGAGCCTTTAAGGTGCTTTTCATGAAAGTGGTGAAGTCTGCTTTTTCTGAGGCATGTGCAAAACTCAGCAGTCTGAAGGAGAAGGCTCTCAGTCAATATGGCAGGTATTCCTCGGAGTTATGCAGGGATGTGAATGCTTACAGAGTGAGGATAAGGAGAAAGAAACATACAGGGTGACCTTCAGATGGGACAGAAACCAACTGTGTTATTAACGACACTCAAGACTGTACAGCTTTATCCCAGTAGTACAAATAGCATTGCTTGGCAGTAATCTTTTGGTTTATATATATATATAAAGTTTATATGCACGCAGATATATATAATTTTATATATATATAATTACAAATCTTCAGCAGATGTCTTAAACATATTTCTATATTTTATCTTCTCTTTCTCTCCTTCTCTCACCTTCTCCTGTGTGCGTGTGCGTTTATGTGTGCTGATCATCTAGGCTCTCTCTCCTTGGGGTCTGTATGTGTTTCATTTGGCTAGATACTCTCTTAATTCTTTTAATTTATTTCCACTAACTGCACTATCAGGAACCCAACTGAGCAGTGACAGGATGTCCTGCTGCTGAAATCTGCAAGCCAGTACTCACAGTCCTAGAATGTTTGGAGACCAGTGATGAGGGCATTATAGGTAGAGGTTCCTCTCTGTCATCCATCTCCATTCAAGAGTGTTGTCCTTGGGTTTTATAAACTTGTATTAAACCATTCTCTGAATTTGTGTGATACATCAAAAGCATCTTTCTGTTCTTCCTGGGAACCAGAGACTTCAAGTCTTTCGCACTTCCTTGTACCCCACATTCTTTCGTGTTTTGCATTCATTTTTACCAGTTTCTTTCTCTGCTATTTATTGATATATTTGCCTGGTAAGTCAGTGGGCATTGTTAGAGTGGATGTGTTGACTTTCAAAGCTCATGGCCTGTAACTAAACCCATATGTTATGTGTTTATTCCCTCATGAAAACATGATACTCAGGAAAACTTATCTTGTAGGTGGAGCACAGCATGGGTGTGTCAGGGGTTAAATTCTTTCCACCAACCCTACATTACTGATAAAATATTTGGAGTGCTATTGGCTATCTTGTTGGGGATGTGGAATCTTGTTCTCCTTATTCTTTGATGCACCTGCGATGAGTTCTGAGCACTGATGTTATCACTTAGGGGTTTGTACACAAAATTTTGTGAGTATATAAAACACTGTGGGGTGTTTAGGGGTTTTTTCTGCAGGTCGCAAGGAACGCAGACCATTGGAAATCTGTTCTTAAATGTTAGCTGAAGTTTAAGAACCTCTGTTGTGGGCTCTGCTCCATCTCAAAGCATATGTATTAACAACATCAGTCTCTTTGCAAATTCTGTGTAGAGCACTATGTCTTGGACACAAGGAGTTAGAAACTTTCTAGCTTTTGGGATTGTGATTCCCAAAGCCAGACAATGTGATGAACTCACATGTACTCATGCTGTATCTCAGATGAGGAGCATCCACAGTCAGTAAAGAGAGTTCAGCAGTGACTTGATAGGGAACTGTTAGCCTATAGGCAAAGCAAAAAAACAGATAACCCGTTACTTGCATCTGTACCCACAGTGACTTGCAAAGAGAAATATGCATGTATTTTGGAGTTCTGTTCTACTACAGATCTGAGCATGGATTTCCTCCTAAAGCCAGTCCAAGTATCTCACCTGGCTCCTAAATGTGATTTAGTGTTCAGGCTTTTCAATGTGCTGCAGGTGAGACCCAGGGGCAAAAACATTCACAGTGCTCTCACTACAAGGTCCGTGATGCTTCATGTATTTTTCAGAGCTTTAGTTCCTGGAGTTGTGCTGCTGTTTGAGAGGTTCAGTTTGTCATTAAGGTCAACAGTTCCTATCCTTTGGGCTATAAAGAAAACCAGTAGCCTAAATGTTCATCATTTAGGTGGGAAGTCACTACCCAACGGTTACTTAGCTCATGACTGCTGGGGCCCTCACGACTGGCTTTTGAACACTTGGGATTGTCAGGACTGCATTAATCAAAAACCAGATAAAGATTCGAGGTTAGAAAAAAATATGAGAGTTACTGGATTGACTTGGGGAAGCAGCAAGAGATGAAAGAACTTGAAATACCGTGGACAGAACTGCAGTTTGAGACAGTGCAGTTTGAGAATTAACACTTTGCACACTGGGTGCTGTAAAAATCATTACTCGTACAGCAACTTGTCCCCGAGGTCTCCCATGGCAAGTTACAAAGTTTTGAAAGGCATCACATAAACGGATGTCTGAATTTAAGCATGGAAGCTGTATTTAGGCATCCAAGCTGATGGCCTGACTTCCCAAGATGCTGATGCAGTTTGAAATTGCAGTTAATCGGGGTTCAG